GGTGGAAGCTCCTTTCCCTGAGGATACAGTAGCTTGGAAATGGAAAACCTGGGCTTTACATAATGGAATCCATGCTTGGACTTCTGCATTCTTTCAGTCTGCCTTTATTGAGTGGGTTCTGATTAACTTGTAGCTCTGCAAAGAACAGGTAATTTAATGCTAACTGGGATGTACTGTTTATAGAGTAGGTCTGAGCAAGTTCAACTCAACGACATCCAAACCTGTAATAGCAATCACTCAGCTACTCAAATGCTTCAAAAAGAAACTCAGATGTCAACTAGTTAAATATCTGTAGGACACAGATTTCCTGGAGTCTAAAGGAAGTACCTTCCTTAATTTCCAATTACAGGCTTACATACATGCTAGTGTTTTCAAAACTCCAGTATTAAGTCAGCTATTTTAACAAGTGAATTTTGCTAATACTCAAAAGATTTATTTTCTGTGTTTTGTTAGGAATTAGTATATTTGACATTGTACCAGTTAAAGGCTAAGTGTCAAAAATGAATTTCTTAAGATTGGATTATAGTAAATCAGTGAAAAAACAGCACTATGCATAAAGCTATGAGTGAAGGACAATTTAACAGAAATGAAAAGGAGTTAAAAAGAAATGGCTAGAAAACTATGTTGATTTTACCCTGCCACCTGAACTACTCTGGCAGCATTACTGTACAAACAACATGGGGACTGATCTTACAACATGTTTAAACTGGCACTACTTCAATGAACAGAACAGCTCTTGATGTGAAACAGCACAGTGCTGATTTTCACTCCTCTGGTACCTCTTAATTATTCCAATATGCCCTACTTGCAATATGAAAATACACACTGATATTTAGGAAATTTTTTCCTTCATGTGAAATTTTCAGGGAAGGTTTTGGACGCAATTAGCTAAAGGTTTTCTGAAATTACATCATTAAAAACTATACAGATAAGAAGGAAATTCTGTGGAAAGAAAGCCTTGTTAGGCAAAAGATGCCAGCAATGGAAATAATTCACAGCAGTAAATGCTACAAGGCACTATTGGCCAATAATATCTTTTACCAAAAACCTACAATTTTCTGTAACAGTTCTGAGAACAGAGTATTAATAAATATGTCTGTAACTTTACCTCTCATGGGATTAATAAAACAGTGTATTCTGATGAAACTCTTAAAACCCATTTAGTATTTAATGAAGTGTATCTGAAATGCCAGATTTCACTGAAACTCTCTTGAAACTTAAACTGTTTAAACACGGTTTATCAGTTATGAAGATTATCAGAAGATACAGCACAAACTAACATGCCCATCAGGAACAGAAAACCAATTTACAGTGAGAAGGTGTACAGGGCTCAGGAACTTGGTCACAGCATGGAGAGGCTGCATGGGCCCAGACAAAGGTATCTGGTTTGGGATGAGGATGAGGAAGATGAGAAGATACAAACAGTTGGAGAGGAGACTCTGTTCTTGAGAGAGAAGATGAGGAAGTATCAGAGGCTAAAAAGCGAAACAAAGAGAATGATAAGGGTGTGGGGGGGGCGGGAAAGAAAAAAGATCCAACAGGGTTTAATGGACTCATGGATGCCCAAAAATGCAAAGCATTTATTTCACCACTCAGTAAGACAGAAACGGATTCTACGTAAAACAAGTATCACTTCTTCTGAAAGCAACATAAAAATATACCCTGTACTCATGTGTACTCTCCTTTCATACTAAACTAGATTCGAAAATCAAATTAAAGATTTTTCCCTATGTTCTAATGCATAAATTTGTAAAATATATTTAAGGGGAAAAAAAGACCAGAGTTTAAAACTCAGCTACTGTTGTTTCTTCCTATGACAAACTCAGTGGACTGCAACCAATACACAATAAACTGAGTATCTGTTTTTAAAAAGATTGAGTGCTACTTACCTTAACCAAAATAGTCAACTGAGTCTCAAGTGATTTGGATATGCATATCTTTGGATATGAAATGTGCCTGTCTCCCTGTGAGATTTTACTTCAGCGATTGATTCATCAAAACTTTTTTTTTTTCCTCCATATTTACTTCCTTCATCAATATATACAAATATGGGTGCATGCCCACTCATGGCAAAACAGCTGAAACAGAAGGCAAACTTAAAGTAGATTTGCCAGTTATTGATCAGGGCCTTAGAATTAACAGTCTAGCCTCATAAGAAATCTACTATGTACTTTTTATACTTCAAAGGTTACACAAATCTTAACTTGAATGATTTAATCATTTTTGATTATGGGATTGGTAGAGCTCTATATAAAACTGGTTTTTAAGACTTTTTTTTTTTTTCAAAGTTCAACTTCTGCTTAATTGATATGTCTGAGAAAAAGAATGTTTTACACAGATTAAAGCTAGATTTATTCTCTAAAAATTCAAATTGCAAATACATAAGACTGCAGATTTGAATTTTAGCTCTCCTTTCTTGGTACTCAGATTGTCTGGACTCAGACTAGACAGGCAAACGGGATCATCATCATAAGTGGTAAGCAAAGTTAGGAAGGGGAAAACTTCCAAATGTTCATGTGTATACACACACATAAATGCATACACATAGTAGAATTATACTGCATAAAGAGACGCAGAGCAAACAATTCTGTCCTGAGAGGATTTTCCACAGTACCTTTCCTGCACAACCTTATTTTAACATTTGTTTCTTTATTTAAATGTCAAATTCCTTCTGCATTTCTAAACACTGGGTATCCACAGAATTTGCACATGAGCTCCTTCAGCCTATAAAGATCTAACATCTCGACCATCTGTTGTTTCTATCATCTACCTTTTGTGAACAATGCTTTTTTTTACAGTCTGCCTTAAGTTTTCTCACTCAAACACCATGACAAGCTTGACTTCTTTTATTCCTATAGTACCATAACATTTTAATTTCTGCAAAATTCTTATATAATCTTCTGGATGAAGAACTTTGGACAAACCTTGGAATATGAAGCTCTTATATGTATACTACTGTATGGATACAGTAGATAAGAAAGCTCTGGTTCTTACCAGAATTTGAGTATTGGTATTGCAACAAGGTTTCTTCTGCTAAAATTAATAGTTTTTTAAAATCCCAAACAAAACAACAAAAATGCAAAAAAAAAGAAAAAAGCGACCCTCCCAACCCCTCCTCCACAATTACTTTTTGTAAGAAAAATAATTAAAAAGAGAGCCTATGTTTTTAATTTCCCATCTTGTCCTCCTTAACAGTAGAGATAAGCTTTAAAAACACAGCTGAGATTCAGAAAAAAAGACAAACTGGAACTTCTAGGAGAATCAGAACACATGTATAGATCCTGTTTTCCAATCAAGATATTGGCTGCAGAACTATAATCTGAGGCAAGCTTCTTGAAAAGCTCACTGTTTTGGATGAAGGTCCATCTTTACTTAAAAGCACTGAGGAATATGCAGTCTTTAAAAAGCACCAATTCATTATGCTCTCAAGTGTGGCAGATATAAAATAGGACACTCTGTAGATGTAGGTTGAGTTTTGTGTCCCATAGGAGAAAAAAACAACCAACCAACCAATCAAACACCACTCACCACAAAAAAGCTCCCACAACACCCCTCCTCCAACAAACACTTTTTTTGAAGGCATCAAATAAATCATCTGTATCTATGTCCATCTATGTGTGTTTATGAAACCTTTAAAATCTTAAAACAATGAGCTAGACTAGAATGTAGAATGATCAGTATAGAATAATGTAATATTATCTTATACATTTTAATTATACGAATACAAGATGACAGAAAATTCCACATTAGGGGCAGCAAGCTAAATTATGCCATACTTCAGACTATGATATATTGCAATTCTTAGAAACCAGGTGACCTGATCTTTGTAATTAAAACTGTTTGCCACTATAGCAAGCCCAGTACACTTTCTATTTACTTAGATGATTTAAAAGATGAGTGAACATTCGATCCAACTTTAACTTTCAGAAGTTAAATATCTAAATTGGATTTTTCTCTACTGCACATTTCTGACATAAAACAAGGAGATGCACTATACATTTCAATGTATCTTAACTTACAGGTCAGTGTATGCTAATTCAGCTTTCCCATCAGCTGTTTGTAACAAAGTGTGATTAAGCAGAAATTCACATCTGAAAGGTGCCAGAAAAGTGTGCTACAGTTTTGAGATAAAACCCAGGAAATAGAGAACTCTCAATATTTAGAATGCAAGTAACATGCTGTAAACATTTTTGGAACTACCATCATCATGGTAATTCCTTCTGCAATTTTCACAGGATGCATGGCCCACCTGCTTTTTTGGTTATATGACTTTTAAGGCATATGAATTTGCATTGTGATAACTGAATATATTGAAATAGACAAATTACACATTGTAAATATTTACTGACATGTAACAATCTTAGCTTTTTGTAGTGCACCTGTGCACCACTATTTTTGATATGTATATCAAAATATCATAGTATATATGATTTGTAATAAATAAATTTTGCTTACAATGTCAAAACTATATCTATAGTAAGCCAACCCACCCATGTCATTATATTTTAATATACATTAGAGATTTTAATCAATTCAATTAGCAACGATGTCTTCAGGTTTTTTGAGGTTTAAAGTTTTCTGAAATTCTCCTGATTTACCTTCTAAAAAGAAAATATGTGCAAATACCGAATGGACAGAAAAGCACAGGACTTTGGCAAATAGGCTAGTTCAGCATACTAATTTTTTGTCCTCGCATAAGAAAATACCTCTAAGCTCAGCAAAATCTATACTATAGATATTTTAATTTACAGAGAATGTGGTCATCAAGTAATTCATAAATAAAAAAGAAAAAGTCTTTTTTACTAGACAAGATCTTTTTAAAAAGATTTTAAAATTTTTCTAATAGACATCACCTGCATGATGTCTATTTCCACTTATATGACAACAATGAAAATATTCTCACAATATATAATTTCACAAAATAAAACAAAAAGACTAATTCAAAATCTAGCTATGGTCAGGCCACTTTACCTATTTTATCGTTCAAATGCATTTCTTACCTGTTTCAGGATCACTGAAATCTGGTAATGTAATTGTATTAAGCTGTCGTCTATCGGCAATAGCTCTGTCTAACAGGCTGCTCCCACGTCCAGAATCACTGTAATGAAGTATAGACATTGTAAGCTATTAAAATATAAAATTATACACTGAGATACAAGTTGCATGCTGCCCTCCTCCCACAAAGGTTCTTGCTATAAAAGTTCTTGCTACGAACAAATTTAGTACCAAGCACCACTAACCACTCACAATGCATTAAGCCAGCTGCACTGAACCAGAATTAAGCTGAGCAAAATCCATATTTACTTCAGCAATTCTGTTTTCATAAGTAATACATCCATGAAGGGAATAAGGCTTTTAATTTGATGCATAGCAAACAGCTTTACAGAAAGCTTTTATTGTACCTTAAACGTTTATATAATATGAGGTACAGCTCTCACAATAAGCGAGATGGCAGATCTAAGTTTGAAAATACACACTTTTCCCAGACTGAAGAGAAACACTAAATTCAGGATATCTAACTTCAAGTAAAGATGTTATAAAGATGCCACAATAACATTTCACATAAAAAGACATCACTTTTATCTCTAGAGGTTTTTGGGTTTGGTATGGTTTGGTTTGTTTTAATACACACACACACACACACACACACACACACACACATTAACTGCCTAATGATCAATTTGATCCCAGTATCACAGTAGGATCATTTTGAACACGTCCAACACCTCAGGAGCTTAAGCAATAACAGTGGTTTTCACTGATTGCTCCTGGAGACAAATGCACTTAATTTCTACTTTAGTTGTAAGTCAGTATCTGTCCCTCAGGCTTCTCGTTGATGTACGTGCTGGAAAACTAATTGCTCCTAGAACTGCCATTAAAGATTTAGCAGAAGAACAAGGACTTAAGAACTAAGTGCTCCTTCTCCTTAAGATGACATGAGTATTGAGATACATTGACAGAAGAGTGTGAGGAAGCACATAAGGGCATTCCACCTTTAACATTCTATGGTTAATAAAGTAATTTCATTTTTAGGATTCTAAGTCTGGTACTTTTTACTAAACCTCTTTTTTTTTTTTTTTTTTTTTTAAAAAGCACCCCACAAACTTAAAAATAGTTAAGGTTTAAAGCAACTGGGCTGTTAGCCCAACTTAGCAAAGTGCAAACTTTTGTCCAATTCTCACCAAAGAGAAGAATCTCCACAAAATTCCTAGTTTAGAATAAAGCCTGAGAGACTTTAATCTAAACTGCAAAACTGGAATTCAGTACATCTTTCCATTTGCCTTAATTTTAAAATCCCCTCCTTCCAAATTTGAACTGAGAGAAGGGCAAGAAGCCTTTCAGCAACTCTTTATAGTTGCATACTTCAAAAACCAGGGAAACAACTTCCTCTCTTCATATAGCCGTTACTAAAATGGTATAAATAAAATTCTGCATTACCCTAACACTGTTGCAGGACTGATTTCCTTACAAAATGATGCCATTATAGAAATCCACAGGAAACAGCAGGGAACTTTCTGGGACACACACTATCAGCTATAGTTGTTACATCAGTTTGTGCATATTTTCCGGTAACTGCTCTATTAATTACTTCCTCAATCCACAAGCAGTGACATGCTAAATGTTGCTGACAAGGAGAGCCAGGCTTAGCATAAGTATCTTCTAAGCACAGCACTGGCATTGTGGTTTGTTCTGTTTTCCTAATGCAAACTAAGAACTGGAGAAGAATTGAACTATTTTCTAATGAACTTCAAGCAGCAAGGTAAAGATAAACACTTGTGCTGCCATCCAGCGAGACCTGGACAGGCTGGAGAGCTGGGCAGGGAAAAATTTAATGAAATATAATAAGGGCAAGTGTAGAGTCTTGCACCTGGGCAGGAACAACCCCAGGTTCCAGTATAAGTTGGGGAATGATCTGTTAGAGAGCAATGTAGGGGAAAGGGATCTGGGAGTCCTGGTGGGCAGCAGGATGACCATGAGCCAGCACTGTGCCCTCATGGCCAGGAAGGCCAATGGCATCCTGGGGTGTATTAGAGGGGGTGTGGTTAGTAGGTTGAGAGAGGTTCTTCTCCCCCTCTACTCTGCCCTGGTGAGGCCACATCTGGAATATTGTGTCCAGTTCTGGGCCCCACAGTTCAAGAAGGACAGGGAACTGCTTGAGAGAGTCCAGCGCAGAGCCACCAAGATGATTAAGGGAGTGGAGCATCTCCCTTATGAGGAAAGGCTGAGGGAGCTGGGTCTCTTTAGCTTGGAGGAGACTGAGGGGTGACCTCATTAATGTTTATAAATATGTTAAGGGTGAGTGTCATGAGGATAGAGTCAGGCTCTTCTCAGTGACAACCAATGATAGGACAAGGGGCAATGCGTGTAAGCTGGAGCACAGGAGGTTCCACTTAAACTTGAGAAGAAACTGCTTTACAGTGAGGGTGACAGAGCACTGGAACAGGCTGCCCAGGGAGGTTGTGGAATCTCCTTCTCTGGAGACATTCAAAACCTGCCTGGACGCCTTCCTGTGTGATCTCATTTAGGTTCCTGCTCCGGCAGGGGGATTGGACTAGATGATCTTTTGAGGTCCCTTCCAATCCCTAATATCCTGTGATTCTGTGATTTAAACCTTCCAAGTCTTGCACCACAAAATTCTTCACTACATCTGGAGTGCAGTGGGGTGAATGGAAACTCTCAGTCATATTTCAGGTCTCAGTGATTACTGTTATCCCAGTTAGACAGATCTGGATCACCATGATTACAATGTGAAGGTATTCAGCCCCTAATTTCACACAGATCATCCAAAGAAAGGTTACAGCTTGGTATTTGTATTGCACTGCTTGATAGAACTCTGAATGTGTGATTCGTGAAACCTGTCTCCTTCCATCATGACACTTATCCACAGTCCCTGCACATTCCATTCCTAATTTGATTTTAATTTGTCACTGTAAACCAGAACTTCCAAGAAAAGCTTTAAGTGTCAAGATAAAAAAGCAATAAAACCTATCAGATGTAAAGTAGTTCTCGTTAATTTTTTCACTTAGATGTTCTTGAAGAAGAATGGTGACATGAGAGTTAGCAAACATTGCTGTTTGAAGCTGACACAGCCAAAGAGTAAGGTTTCACAGTCACTGCTGATATCTGAAGGAAGCATTACTTAACGTGTATTTAACGTGGCACAGTAGCTCTTAACACAACAACAGCAACAAAAAAAGTAATGACAAGCCATGATTAGAGCCCTGATCTGTGTAGAGGATGTAACAACAGAGATGGATGGTGAAAACTTGTGCTGGAGTACATGCAAAGCCTCACTGAAATTAAGCTTGCATATTCTGCACAGCACTATATCAGAATGCACTATATCAGCATTCTGACAATAAACTCTTAAACCTCCCTCCCCACACACACAACCAACCAACTAAAATAAACAACCACCCACTAAGTTAGAAGAAGAATTCTGTCCCAGGTCTCTTCTGCTAGTTCAGTGACTTCAATTTGAAAATAATTCAGCTCAAACCTTTCTGGTTGCTGACGTACTTGCTTTCTATAACCCCCGAGTCCTGGTCCCTCCTCCACAGGGCAGTATCAGTCTCTCTCTCAACACGCTGTGACTGACTCAGGTCCCTTCCCAGGCTTCTCCTGCCACATCCTCCAAACCTTCCTGTTCTGAACTGCTCACTAGCTTGCCACGGAGAGAAGCAATTTTCCCTCTTTGGCCATTAGGTTCCAACTTTCTCAATCTTCTTAAAGAGATGCACGTCTTTACATAACTGAGATCAAACAAAATAAGAGCAAAAACTGAATGATAATGTTTATCCATACTGCTATCCTGGTATCTGATGACACCTGGTACAAAGCTCCTCTGCTGCAGCATCTTTTCTCTGGAAAATGTCAACCCTTCAAACAACCAGACAGTAGGAAATCCTGCTTGTCCTCTTCTCCAGGTACTTGACAAATGTGTTGAACAGGACCAACAGGGATTTCTGCAAAGTGGACTTCCTCTTTGTTTCCCAGCTTATCTAAATATATATGGCAAAGAACTTTCACAGAAGCATTTTTGAAACCAAACAGTACTATATCAGCTTATCCAAATACTTGCTAATGCTTTTGAAGAACCTGAATAGGTTCATAAGCAAGAACACCGTTTAAAAAAAAAAAAAAAGCCATGCTGACTTTGCAAGCACATCATATTCATCCATGTGACCTCTGCTGTCTCTATAGTCTTAACGTCTAATCCTCCCTCCTTCATTACATTTAATGAAAGTCCTTGAACTAAATTTCCACTACAGCAATCTCTCCACTAGCCAATGTAAGAGGCTCTATAACCCAGACTGGGGGGAAAATAAATAAATAAATAAATAAATAAATAAATAAATAAATAAATAAATAAAGACAATACCAGTACATTGAGCCACACCAAGGAAAATGGCAGATACCCAATCTCTGTAATCAGTCCTCATCACTGCAGAGTTTATTAGCTGTGGCGTACCTTACTTCACAGAACTCGGGGTAATTTCTGCATGTCCATCAACTGCTATCTTTGCATTTTAGTCTCCAGATTCCTAATGGATTAGTTTGTTCATACGAAATACCAGACCAAGTAAAAGCAGGACTGCTGACCTAATATTGGCCTGAAAGGCTAATGAGTGAGGTATTGAGCAACCTAGAATTCTACAGCATCTTACCTTGGGTTCGTGAGATTATAGCAGGATTTCCAAATCTGGAGCATGTGTTTACAGGTAAGGAGTGCTTCATCTGGGCCTCTGCACAGGGACTCCAGTTTGACTTTTGTAAACAGTAATCTAGTAAAAAGAGAAACGAAATTAAAAGAGAAAGAAAAGAGATTCCAATTCAAGCAAACATTTTTAAAGATAGCCAACATCACACCAAACTGGAGAAAATAGAACTTCAAAGACATTGCTAATTTAAATAATTGCTTCATGAAGAAATTCCAATAAAGTCAAATATCTAACATTATTAAAGTAACAGTGCTTTTTACAAGATGGCCTTTTCAACTGGATGGAAACAATAGTTGACAGGATTTTCTAAAATTTTTTTCAAAAGTTAAGCAAAACAATATAGTTTAGTGAAATTAACAGGACCACTAAAAACAGTATATCATATGCTGAAGAGAAAGGAATTTTCCTTAAGAAAATATTTACTACTTTTATGAGAAAGTATTTTCCATTAACTGGCTCAGATAATAGTTATCTATATATAACACATGAAAGAAAACAACTCAGTACTGATGCCAGTTATTTCCTCATAATATCAACTTCTATTATAGGAAATGGATGAGGCTATACAGCAGGCCAGCAGGTCAAGGGAGGTCATTCTTCCCCTGTACTCTGCTCTCGTAAGGTCCCATCTGGAGTACTGAGTCCAGTTCTGGAGCCCCCAACACAAAAAAGACATGGACCTGTTAGAATGAGTCCAGAGGAGGCCACAAGGATGATCCAAGGGCTGGAGCACCTCTCCTATGAGGACAGGCTGAGAGAGTTGGGGCTGTTCAGCCTGGAGAAGAGAAGGCTCTGGGGAGATCTTATAGCGGCCTTGCAGTGCCTGAAGGGGGCCTACAAGAAAGCTGGGGAGGGACTTTTTACAAAGGCAGGAAGTGATAGAACAAGGGGTAATGGCTTCAAACTGGAAGAGGGTAGGTTTAGATTAGATATTAGGAAGAAGTTCTTCACTGTGAGGGTGGTCAGACACTGGAACAGGTTGCCCAGAGAAGCTGTGGCTGCCCCCTCCCTGGAAGTGTTCAAGGCCAGGCTGGATGAGGCTTTGAGCAACCTGGTCTAGTGGAAGGTGTCCCTGCTGATGGCAGGGGGGTTGGAACTAGATGATCTTTAAGGTCTCTTCCAACCCAAACCATTCTATGATTCTATACTTTAAAAGATACCACTAGACCAGATATATTCATGGGAGGTAGTCAGCATTGGTAAGGTTAACAAGAAAATGTAGTTCCACTCAACATTATGTTGCTATCAGCAGGCACCAAAATTGATGTTTGACTTGAATTTTTAATATTTTGAACAAGTGATAACTGGAAGAAAGCACATCGTTCATCAACTATGCAGCAAACTGCACAAGCCACTATAAATTAATTCTGATTTCAAAGTTGATGTTTATAATGGCAGGAAGACAAATAAAGTACATAGCCTCATAAGATGACTACTGCCTATTCCTTTTACATTCCATGTATCAGTAGAAGGTTCTCCACAGAGATGAGCTTAGACACCTTCCTGGATAATTAAAGAATATAAAAGCCCTATGACAATAAAGGTACTATTAAATTGGTATGCACATTTACAGGAGTCACAGCATCTAAGAATGGATAATACACTGGAAAAATACTAATTTAAGAGCAATTTTTAGTAAATTACAAGATTAAAGAACACAAAGCAGAAGGATAGGATGCATATAAAACTGTTAGCCTACTTTCTGTTTTTAAACCCAGGTGTACTTCAGCATTTTATTCCAGTACAACCTTAATCATCCTAAGTGAAGAATTTGTATGACTGGTCATATGGTTTGCGTGGGAAGACTGAGAAGGGTGTGGAGGGTGGGCATGTGTGAAAGCTCAGAACTTTCTTATCCCAAATAAAAACTCTGAGGCTGCTAATATTAACTGCAAACTGCCAGAGGGTTTTCTCAAGAATAAGAAATGACATCAAGTGCCTCAGCAAGTTACAGTAGCTAAAGCTTTAGTGTTGCAGTGAACGTTCTTTGCAGAAACTACCCAGCATGTAAATCTAAAAATGAATCACACTATCTTAATTGTACAATGTGTGTGTTGGTGGGACTGAGGAGGAAATGAAATGCAGGTCGCTGAGATTGTTTAAGAGAATGAGCACCTGTGGATAAGCAAAGTAAATAAGGTTATACAGAGTCTCACCTGATGAGACTCCTACAAGATTCCTACAAGATATCTTGTAGGAATGCAGAACAGAGTAATCAGTTACACTAGTTTAGCTTTCTTCCTATCAGTAAATCAGATTTGAGTATACAGGGAACTATATATGGATAATTTAAAGTCAAATTTCATTTGGCAAAGCAGTCTTCTCTAGATATTTGTTTAACTGTGACTATATCACTGGAAGAAAAAATGTCCAGGTCGGTCCATCATTTCATGTAAGAGAAGGAAAAAAGACAAATAACATCCTTCTCCCCTCACACTACCACATCTGTTCTACCCATAACACACACACACACACACACACGCCCTGCCCAAAGAATAAGACCTGTGCATCAAAACTCAAGCATAAATTCACAGGAATCTACCTCATACAATCCTTTTCCTGTTTCTCTGAATGTAAAAAGAAGAGAGTGCTTTTTAGAGTTTGAAGAGCCTATATAAGTTCAATTTTTAAAAATGTGTGATCATAAAGCACTTTACAAAAGCTATAGAACTTAATAAATTCAGAAGCACTGAATTTACAAGTAATTCTACAAAGAAGATAATCTTAATATATACCTTATTATGTACAGTTTACAGACAGACTGAATTTACATTAACAACCTTCTAACATTTAAGACTTTCAGCAATACTGTAGCAGAGAAGGCACAGGGTCAGTAAATCAGAAAGATTCAGCAAAAAAGAAAGAAAAATTAAGTGGAAGATAGAAAGGGAGGGGATTTGATTATTGAGAAATGACTTAAACATATGAACAAAATAGCAGGAGTATATGCACCTAAACTGTAAGATCCTGGACTACCAGTGCAGGATTCAAGGGCAAGATAGCAGAAGACAAATACACTTGTAAGAATTAAAGCAATACATCAGAATTTGATGCTTTTTGATGCACTTGGTACACATGCAACATCATCCTTGTTTCTTATGCATTATGGTAATCAAGGGGACTGGATGGATGCAAGTTTCCCAAAATACAAACAATAAGCAAATTATGATGGAAAAATATTCATAATTCTAAATAAAGAAAGGCTAGGCAATTCTAACTTCTGGGGGCAGGGTGAAGTACTCTGGTGTGGGATTATCCACACTAAACCAAAAATAATTTTTTGAATAGAAAAGGTTGTATTTATAAAGCCACACAGAGTAGTTTCCCTGGGTTCAAGAAATATTTTGACTATAAACCACAAAATAACTAAGACACTTCAGAAAACTAACATGGGATGTTAATAACAAAATGAAAACCTATCAACTAAATGTTTACTTAACAATAGGAGAAGGAAGGGAAGAAAGAGGAAGGAGGCAAAGGGCAGGAGGAACACCATGTGACAAACAGGTCTCCCAAATTAACTTAATTCTTCCAAGTTCCCCTGAAATACATCTGGAGGTAAGAGTTCATAACAAGCTAAACAAGCAGCTCAGGGAGAAGTATTACCAGGAAGATTTTAGAAGCCATGAGGTAGATAATCTGAAAAAGGATTTTCTGAAGGGTCAGCTTCAAGCATCTGCGGAAACAACTCTTCTGGAATACAGTCTGCATTACTGATAGAGAATTTTAAACTTTACAGGGACATTTTCATGCCTCTTTTTAATACGCTATTAAAAATGGTGAAGAATGGATAAAAACTACCAAGAGATAGGATGATGAAAATCAAGCTGTATGTTCTATGAGTATCATGAATTATCTGGTTGTGTCTGTCTGTAAGAGTCAGAGGTTTAAATTACTGGCACGTGGAGCAGAACAAAACAGGACAGAGTAACCACAGCATGGTGGGACAGCACTCATGACTAAGAATGCAAGTACTGAGGAACAGACAATATTTAAAATAGAAATGAAGAGTAGAACAATGTGTGTCAGTGATGTGTCAAACTGGAATAAATACAACAGATAATGAGAACAGAAATCTGTTTGGTCAGATCTTTTGGGGAAGGGAAGTAGGTAAACCAGGTTCTGTTAAAGACACTAGACTAACAGAGCATTTGTTCCAGCATCAGTGTTTGATATGGATGTAGATCTTTAACGTTAGATAAAAATAAAGTGAACTGTACCATTTAGAAGACTAATTACCCAGGCAAAAAAATGGAGAATAAATCAAACTCTTAAGTGGAAGGGCTTAGTTATTCTTGGAGCTAATAACTGATGTATTTATGAAATAGCTACTGAAGCAGCAAATGACTCCATTACCTCAAGACTGTTCTCACTAACTAATGAGGGCATTATAAAACAGCTGCTTATAACCTAATCCATGCATTACTGGATTTATTTAAATAAAGAATGAAAAATCTCAAACAGGTTTATAACTAGGTCTTTGAATTTCAGCAGCACACACACAAATAATTTGATAGTGAATGTTAGCAAAGACATCTAATGCCTGGCAGAAGCCTGGCATTTAAGAGAAAGATGCTAAAACATTTAAGGATCTGCGTGTCGAGTTGAAGGTGTAAAACCTGATGTTTGACAAGCCAATCACTGATAACATTGTGCAATTAAGACATCAGAAATATGCAGAGATGCTATCAAGAATAGCAGGGAGCAGAGAGGGCAGAGAAGAGAAAGAAAAATTAGCACAGGAAGCTGCATTTTAGGTACATAGTAAAGCTAAAATAAAGCTAAACTAGACCTGAACAGAATATTATATTAAAAAGTTAGTCTTTAAAGGTTTGTTTGTATCTAAGTAGAAAAAAAAAAATAAATGTGTACACTAAATTGGGACAACGAGATGAAGAGTAAGAGTATTCAGGAGTGAACCCCCAACCTCCACAATAATCCTTATCTAAAATAAAATAGTAAAAAAAAATCTCTTCTGTAATGACTGGAGAACAGCAACTATGTCGCCAATGGTTTTTTTCAAGAGGGAAGACACAGATGAACATATACAATCTTAATAACGT